AACAGCGGCGTTTCACCCTGATGTTTCACATAGTTCATGGGGCCTGCATGATAGTCCGCACTCCGAAGCACTAGTATATCCATGGCTGCAGCGGTATCTCCTTCAGCACAGCTCTGCGCCACGCCTGATTTCAGGTAGGCGCTCTGATCGAAATGGATGGTGCAGCTCAAGCCAAAGACACGAGCTGACTGGAATTTTGTCTCGATGATGTGAAGAGTTCTTGACATTGTATTGGTCACCTTGAACACTTGCACTTTGCTGTTAGTGCGAACGCATTCTTTGATACAAGTTGTGTCGTGCCTTGGACCTTACAAAGCACCTGGCTTGAACCTCACTCTCTCCTTCAGTCTTGCTCATGCACAAGTATACGCAGTGCACCTCTGGTGGGACATCTTCCTACCAACAAGCAGAATGCATTTTTCGTCCTGGACATCCTGTACTGAGAGCGGCTTGAAAGGAATTCATCGCCCCGTTTCACTTCTGTGTTGATCTTCGGATCTGCACCTTTTGGCTTTTCAGACTAGAGCGGACATGAGCCTGATTTGCTTGGTCTCTGTTGCTTTGTCGTTTGGGTTGTTTGGTGGTGGTTTGGTGGTGTTTTGGGTTTGGTTCTGTTGCTCTCTTAGGTCAGGCTCATTCGCACCCCTCAAGTGAATTCGACACGGTGACTTGTGCCTCTCGGCACACATAGCGCCCTTACCCGTGCAAAGAAAATAACCCACCAGGTACGAAGCCGTCACCGAATTTCGCCCCACTGGTTCCCCCATGTTGGCCCCAGCAGTCAGAACGCATCACACACCCCGCTCTCGCCGAGCCAACGATCCCGCCGGGCACTACGCCGGAGCGAGACTGCTGCGGTGTCAACCCCCGAAGCTGATGCGCCCCAGTCAGGACCGCGCTCCAGTGTGGAGCAGCGTTCTATGCCGCGACCGTTTTCCCACACCATGACCGGCAGGCATGGGGCCAGCGGAGTGACCATCTGCACGGCGGCTGGGCTTTCACCGCCCGAAAGCTGCCGATCTCTGATCATGGGTGGTCCTTCCCCCCCCAATCTTGGATGCTGCATCTTCGCCTCAGAACGGACCACCCGAGGGGAGTGGTCGGGTCGACCAGGGGTTCTAATGAACGAGCTCACCTGAGGTTAAGGAGGTTCGCCGCCAGTAGGCGCCGGCGACCACTGGTTGAACGATTCCCCACCTTGTGTCTTCCCCCCTTGAACCGATTTCCTAAGGGAGTTTTACACTCATCAGCAGCATGGCTGGCTGTCCGTTCGAGTTGATCTACTCTAGTGCACCACATGCTGAGTGGGACGTACGCCGCTTTGAACGTAGCTCAATTGACAGGCGTACTAGTTTAGAGTTACTGTCCTCGGCCCGGTGCAGGGTGGGGAACTCCCCGGGCGGACTAGAGCGGAGTTCCAGCACCTGAGGCCTGAGAGAACCATCCACCAATAGACGTAAAAGGAAAAGGATGCGAGGGAGCGACGTTTTTGTTCAGGTAGCTTGAAGTGATGTTGTGTAGTACAACTAGTTGTACGCAGGAACATGAACGTAACAGCGACTGTAAAGGAGCTGTGGAAGCTCAAAGGAATTATTAACCCACCTCACCACTCCCTGTCTTCATTGTGCCGGGTCTGATCGCGACCATCGACACACTGTTCCTGGCTTCTGGCTGAGCGCGACTTTTCCAGGTTGGATAAATGGTCCCTGCTTACAGTTTTCGACCATCGGTCCTTTACCTTCCCCTCTCGATGAGGGATACACCGCTCCTCACCTATGGATGAGAGCGAATTTTGCATGTTGTGAACATGTTCTCTGGTCTTTACTTTGGTGGCCGTGTCTACGACCATCGATCTTTTCCCCTCCACCTCTCGATGAGAGTAGTTTGCATGTAATGGGTTTTTTGCCTTACTCGGTTCTTGGTTATGTTCTTCGGCCAGAACCTTTTCCTTGTATATCTGTATAGTTTGATTCTCGACCTCGGGCTGGACTAGAGCGAAGTTCCAGCACCTGAGGCCTGAGAGGACCATCCACCAATAGATGCAAAAGGAAAAAAGGATGCGAGGGAGCGACCTTTTGGTTCAGGTAGCTTGAAGTGATGTTCATGACTGTACATGCGACCCAGAACACGATTCAAGGTGTTTCACTGGCTTACATGCTGCATGCTTGCAGTTGCTTCGTGCTCAAGCTAGACGCGTCGCAAATCGTGATGACTAGCTATGAATACCACATTTGTACCGATTCTTTTGGGGGGTTGAATCATGATCAGAAACTTCTGTGGCAAGTTGCTGCAAAGTGGCAATCACCGATACTCAGTATTTGACACTTCACATGTTTAGCCATCGACTCTGGCTTGAATGGCAGACAGAATCTCGGACGCAGTGGGCTTTAATGGAGTTTTGTGCAGAGGTGCATCACCCTTGTCCAAGGTGACACTTACGTGCACTTCAAGGCAGCAACATGTGGCACATGCGTTGGCCACCAATTGCGACGCCGTGCAAAGCAGAAGGCACGTCCTTCAAAACCACTTGTTTGCATTTTTGGAATTCAATATTATTTCTTCCGCGCCAAGAGCAGACCCCCAGATCCTTGCCCCCATGTTTTTCGTTTCGAGCCCTTAGGAGGAAGTTGACCGGACAACGTCTGCGTTCCAAGCTTGCATTGGCCGCTGCTCTGGCAGTGCCGGCTCGACGGAGAAGGGACGAAGGCGGTATTGAGATTCTTGATGCACCCAAGCGGAATATGTGGGCGGTATTGGGATTCAATAAAGACATGTTCATTGCCTTTAGCCTTAGACACATGCGACCTGCACCATCCAGGACATGTGTGGCAAGCAGCCACTGGCCAGGCAGGAAACCGTTGGTCTTATGCGCACTTGGTTTGAATCGTTTGTGGACAGGACACGAAAACTGCAGTGGCTCTTGAAACACTTGATGAGAAGAATCTTGGATTTGTTGGGTTTGTTGGCTGAGATCTGAGGGCGCAAGCAGCTGTTTGTTGCTGCGATTTGCCATCCTTGATGCATTATTTTTTATAGGGCAGTAGCAGTAGCAACGTGTCACATGTTATGCAAGAAGAGACGTGATGCAGCTGAGGATCAGTGAGCTGAGATTCGGTTCCTTGGATTTCTCAGCCACGATTGACAAGGCAAATCGCTCAGAATCGATTCTTCACACCAAGGTGCAATGGATCCGTTTATGATGAATTGGATAGGCGCTAAACTACGATCGAGTTTCCCTGAAGAATCTTGGGCTGCAAGAACATTCTCAGCCCTTCCCTTTGTCACAGCCCTGCTGGCATTTCTGGTAAGGTACATTTTTCTGGAGTGCTGTTGACATCTGAGGCTGGAAGCAGCAGTGTTGCCACTGTTCTTGATTGTTGCTTTGTGATGCTGCTCACTAAGGCTGGAAGCTGTGGCCCTGACCAGCTGACGTTCCTTCAAGAGCTTCTCAATGGCGAGGAGGCCGGGGTTCGTGTCAATCCGACCAGTAAGGCCAGGAGCCCCTAATAGCGTCCTTGCTCCTAGTAGCGATGCCAGGAGCCCCTAGTAGCGTCCAATTGGTGAGTCGCCGGAGTCTCGAGAGGTCGACTTTGTGGTCCTCCCAGCCAAAGATGTCAGAGCCTCTCTGAGAATTCGACGTGCACACATACTGCCAAGACAGACGGGCAAGAACCATTGTGCTTTAGTTACTTTAGTTACACCGGCTAGTCCCGTAGCTCGTTATGAGTCTACTTGTGTGTTGCTGGTATTTGTTGTTCTTATTTGCGCATATTCTAATTCTAACCGAGGCTGTATATTCATTCATATAAATATCTAGAATTCCATATTCTAATAACATTTCAAAAGGTGTAGTCCTAGTGTAGAGAACTCCTGATTCGATCATGTGCAGGTTGCTCTGTCTCTGCCCAGTGACCTCACTGCTGCAGCAATACTCAGAGAGGCCATGAACCACTGGGTCGGGCTCTAGATTCTAGATTGCTTGCATTTTGAAGGATGCCCGGGATGCTTTGGTCGGATCCTGATCCCACGGATCCCACTCCTCACACCTCATTTTGCCAACTTTCCCCAGGTGGTGAGACCAGGCATTTCACCTGTCGCATCCCTTTCAGTACGGGACCGAGTTGGGTGCGGTTCACGTTTGATTTTTGCAGATGAATGGCAAATCTGTCATTTGCGTTATATTTCGCACGTATTTGTACCTCTTTCCCTACTTCAAGGCATAGAAGTCATCAAAATGTGAATGCGCATTTATTTGCCTTCACATTACATTTACAGTACAGCAAGTGGGATTTGGATACTGCGTGTGTCCAACAAGAAGAGCCACAAGTGAGCAGTCCATCCAGTTTTGTCAAACCTACCTCTGTGCTTCAAGCGAAGATTAGGCGAGAGGTTTGTTTAGAGCATCTTGAATATTGCAGTGGACACACATAGTATATATACAGGCTCAAAGTACCTTTGGTACTTGACTCAACTACCAGTGGAGTCTGAGTTGCTGTGCCAAGGACTTGCCTCCAGGAAGCACAGTTTGTGTGTCCTGTGCCCGGCGTAGTCTGCATATATCCACAAGGCGAAGCTGCGCAATTAATCTGATGCATCTTCCCTGAAATAGCACGAGTCTCATGCAAGAGTTTAGTGTCAGGTTTCCTTCGCTGAAGGTTGAAGAGTGCCAGAAACTCAAAGCCTTTTTGCGGGAGTGTGCATTGTAGAATTCATTGTATTCTTCTTAGTTCGCCGCGTTCCTGAACTAACATCTACATAAAAGATCATAAAAGCGTCTGAGCAAATCCCATCTGGAACATTGGACAACTTCGAAGGTTGTACATTTGATCCTTCGTCGTCACATGAGGTACTGCATCTTCACAGTCCAAGCTTCGCCGCTTGTACAGTCAAGATTATGACGCAGTAATTGGCGCTGTAGCTGGCTTGTGACGCTGGCTTGCGATTGGAGCGCTTGCGCTTCGAGTCCTTCAAATCATGCAAACTAGCCTTTCAAATCCATTCGACTAAAATCTGAAACAAAAAGGAACCTAGACTTCAATTCCTTGAGCTTGATCCGGAGTGAACCCTCCATGTTTCCACCGCCGCCATTCCGGCCGTTTGAAGGCGCCTCGGCCTTAAGGTTGCTCGGTCCGTGCGGTTCGAGCTGTGTCAGTGGCGACCACTGCGCTGCTCCTTGTTGCTTGGACCACGTGGCCCACCTTGCTGCTTGGCGCTTCGAGAGCTTTGTGCATGAGCTCACTGACTGAGTTCAAGGAGGATGATCTTTGCGGACCTTCCGGCCACGATCTCAAAGATTGAGCTGACACACTGTCTCTGGTGGGCAACGCCCGGAGGAGGACAGGGGTTGGTGAGGAGGTGGAATTCACTTCACCCTTTGCTTCTTGTTTCGTCAGGACAAGAGACACTTCAGAACGAGAGAGTGCACAATGTTTTGGCTTTGACCAAGGAGGAGGTTCTTTCCAGACTTCACCAGCCAAACCTGCATCCCTTGAGCAAGGCCTATTGTGAGGCATGCTTGGATCGCCTTATGGTTTGGACAGTGCCGTCCAAGATCATGCAACTTGGGTGGACGCTGGAACTTGCCTTCCGCTTCTGAATGGGGTGCGCAGCAGAAGCTTGGGTTGATGTGGCCGACTGGGTCACCTTCTGAACATGAAGTGCAAGCTTCTCAAGCAACTCGCAAAGAGTTCTGTTGGCGACAGATGAGTGAAGAGGAGAAGGCACTGAAGCTGCTTAACGGGGCTTGGGCTGTGTGGGGGAGAGATGCAATCGAGGCTTTGTCTCCCGATGAGTCTGTGTTGGCGCGAAAGGAGATTGGGACAGAACCAGGATGTCGTAATTTGACAGCCTGCTATGTCTTCACAGACAGGCATGAGAGTCTGAGGACGTCCCGAAACCCTCTTCCAGTGAAAGCTTGGGCTCGCATCATCGCGCCCGGCTACAAGGACATTATTGCATATGGCGAGAAAGACGCGCTACTGGTTCCAGAATTTCTCAACAATTCCTTTTTGTCTACACTGCCAGCATCGCCAAGAAGTCCATGGATAAGAAGCTGCACTGGTGCTTGATGAGTGGGACGTCAAGTCAGCCTTCTTGAAGGTCGATGCCTACATGGAGGGTGCAGGGGAGTTGTTTCTGGAAAATGTCAGAGGAAATGAGCCAAAGCTTCCGTTTGGCCACAAAACTTGGCGAAGATTCGTAATGATGCTCCGACTGTGGTATCTCAAGCTCAACAAAGTGGTCAGAGGATCACTCACGCTTGGAGGGCATTGTGATCTCCCACGTGGACGACTTGTTGCTCGGCGGAAATGTTCGAGCCCAGGACAGCATGATTGGCCATTGGAGCTGGACTTGGTTTTGGTCAGTTGAATTTGATGATTTCTGTCTTCTGTGGAAAGCGAATTGCGGTCTTTTTTTGCCCACTTGAGGTGGAACGGTAGCGCACATTTTCGACAATGCGCGTTCCTATCGCGTTCCAGATGAGCGATCTGGTGCATGGCATTTTCCTTTAAGGACCACTTACGGTCGCTTTGATCTAACCGGTGGTCGGTCCGGATGGAGGACCTTGGAAACCTGTGTTGACCTCAGCCTGCTTACGACGAAGCAGGAGCTGCTGGCTGTTTGGCGAGTGTGTTCACCTTTCAGTTCAACAAAAAAAACTATCCGCTGAAAAATGATTCCGTGAACTTGATCCGGAGTGAACTCTCCATGTTTCCACCGCGGCCATTACGGCCGCCTGAAGGCGGCCATCGTTGAAAGCTGCTGCAGCTCGGTCCGTGCCGTTCGAGCTGTGTCAAAAGTTGAACTCGGCATGTTGTTGTAGGAATTGACTGATTAGGGGCACTTCTACCACATGGGTCTTGTGGGTCTCGCGGCTCTTGCGACTATGTGTTTGGCTTCTTATTGCCAATCCCTTATTGGGTGGCACTTTCCTTTGCCAGGCAGAGGACAGGCCTAAAAGAGGCTTTACCTCTCGACGTGGGTGAAGTCATGCCAGCTCTTTGTCAAGGCGCTTGTTGCAAGTACTGAAGTTTGCAGTTGCTATATCACATCCGCTGCGTGAGCTTGGCGCTTGAAAGGCGCTGTAACTATGCTGTGCCGAAGCAAAGATGAGGACATGGTTTCACTGTACAGCTGGCATGGTTGAACAACTTGGAAATGAACGTGCCATGACTCTGCCATGACCCTTGACTGACTTGCGTATTAGGTTGGCCAACTGCGACGACAGATCAGCAGCGGAGCTCGATGTTTTTTTGAGTTGTGGGGAGAACTAGGAGGAATGCACATTGGTGACAGTGACGCGTGGCACATCGGCACATTGGCATTACACCAAGGCCAGAGTCTGTGTGGCTGCAGAACGTGATCTTTTGAGACAACTTGGCAGGTGCACATCCTCTACTGCAGAACAGCTTGAGTGTTAGAACTTGTTTCATGACCTGACATCGTTGCGACAACAGGTTGCCGCAGGGGACTGCTGTGCTGGACTTAAACCCGCCATAACAATATCATTTGGAGTTTTCCAACTATTCTTGCAAATTTGCTTTTGCGTTTGCTCTGAGGTAGGAGGTTTGGCTCAACTTCTTGGGCGCTGAGCTTGTGAGGGAGGTTTGGTCGTGTAAACATATGTATATACACAACTTGAACCTGAATTTTTGCCAAAGTCAAGAGTAGATCTTTTCAGTTTCTGTGGCAGCTTGGCTTGGAGTGGCTGAAGATCTCCAATCCATGAGCACGACGTCGCTGGTGTCAAGCCATGGCAGCGCAAGTTGTGTGCGCTTCAAAGCAGAGCAAGTTGCCTCACCTACTTTACAATCACCTCGTACAATTGCCCCTCCTCGCACAGTTCCTTCTCCACAAGCCTCCAGCTCAGGATCGATGGAACCTCACGCTGCAAAAAGAACATGCAACAAACATCCCACTTGGACAAGCAAACCAAGTCTGCATGATGCATCATCCTCAAGGCCAGAAACTCCCAACAGTTCGGCATCTGCACGATCTGCGACCTTTGTTGAAGGACGGCTTTTATTGAATGATCTGCACGAGGACGACCGAACGCGACAAAGCAAAGACCCCCGATCCGAGCATGTTCGCTTTGTTCATCTCGACAAGGACCGAGCTGAGCTGGATCTCTATTCTTTGCCACTCGAGCTCTTCGGCCAGCAGCTTGGAGACCCTCCGCCGACAAGAGAAACTCTACCTGATGTGTCACCAAAGAATGTTGCAATACGAGACCCTCCGAACGTTGCAAAGCGCAGAACTCCAAAACACCCGCCTCGCAAGCCTCAACTCAAGAAGTCGACAGATCTCATCGAGCTAGCGGGTTTTTCTCTTCGGGTGGATGGGCAACCGATCTCCAATGCAGTTGTGCCTGTCTGGACAGAGACTCCAGGAAGGGAAGGTGTTGATGAGAGTGTGCTGCAAATGGGATCTGTCCTGACTGATGAAAGTGCAGAGAACGAGAAGGCCCAAAACGAGTCCACCTGGGCACTTGAACATCAGAATGAACATCAGAATGTACTACATACTACGATGAATACTGATGAGGACTTGGCAGATTTGCTTCCTGACTGGGCGATGACTTCACCTTCTTTCTTGGACTCTGAGTGCCTTCCTTCCTTGCCAACTCGTTCAGGCTCCGCTCCGACAGAAGCTGGCAAAGCCACTTCTACACACTTGCATGGAATTCAGCAAGAGAAAGAGAGAAGGCCACCTGCTGAGCCACAGCGCTCAGAAAGAAAGTTCTACAAGTCCACTAGAGTTCAGAAAGACTGGAGTTCAGTGCCTCCAGAAATCAGAGGCCTTCTACGGAGAGTACCCTCACCTCCACAGAGGTGGAAGAAAGTCGATCATCCCATTGTCGCGGAATCTGCGCCAGAATCAACGATCGAGAAAGCCTCTGTCGAAGTTCAATGCTCTGACATGCAGACTGAAGACTATCCGGATCCAGATGATGATAGCGCTTGGTCGACGGGGAGACGATTCTCAGATTCATGTGCAACCTTTTATTGGATCCTCTCCATAGATGGCAAATGCCAGACCGAAATGTTGCCGTAGACAAACGCGTTAGAACAGCATATACAGTACCTTGCAAAGTATTATATACATGTATATACCCATACCTGCCCACTACACAAGTGTTTTCTTTTTGGAGGGACCGTAGTCGCCTGGCAAAGTGTTTAGCTCACAAAACTGGAACTCGGGACACTGGCACTCAAAAGCACAAAGCACCATGATCACAGGACAAGAAGAAGGCCTACACTGCAATTGTTTTTGTTCACTCATGTCTCAGACAGGACTTCTCATTCAACGTTGCCGTCCAGAGCATGTGAAGCTGCAGAAGTGGCGTCGTCTTGATCAGCCGAAACCTTTGAGCCGATTGCAGCTGTACCTCCAATCCTTTCAAAGCCGCTTTCCTGGTGCCCTTGTGACTCAGCTTGAGTTGGTTTCTGGATAGAACAATGTTGTTGCACTTCACCAAATCTCTAGGCTTCAGACAAGAGGTTGGAATGGCAAGCAAGTTCGACAGCCCTGAAGAAATGTTCTTGGTTGAAAAGAGAACGCACTTGTCTATATATATATATATATATTGGGTGCTGCCTAATAGCTGTAACAGTCAGTAAACACATTTTCCTTAAAACAGACCCTCCAAAAGTGCACCAAGTGTTGTCCCTTTTTGCTGCTACTCTTGCCCGGCCTTCTTGCTCACTGCTGCTATTTGTTGTTCATTGATTTTTTCAAGTTTCAATTGGCAGTTGGTTGCACAATTCAAATTTTCATTTTTTCAATTTTCAATTTGCAATTAGTGGGTGATGGGGCCATGGGATGACTGTTGAGGCCTGGATCTCAGAGTGGCAATCATCACCATGGACCATGGCAGCTTTTCACTTTATCCTTTTTCATCTTCTATGCTCAACTTTGTTTAGGTCCTAGTGTCCTAGTGTTGGTATTTTGGCACTTTGTTGAGGCCTGGTGTAGCGCCACGTCTACTACAATGATGACTGTTGCAGGGGCCTTGGGGTGTCTGGGGGGTGAAGGTCTTGCTTTTGTGGGCCTTTTGTGAGCTTGGTCTTGCAATATTGCTCATTGACACATTGCCTTCATGGTTGCAGCAGTTGGGCTTTGACAGCAACATTCACCCACACGACTCACATGATCAAGTGGCAGCAAAATTTTCACATCACAGATCAATTGCCAAGCACTTCATCATTTCAATTGTCAATTGTCTCTTGCTTCATGGATGCCTCCATCCATCGCCCTCAATCTGATTGAGGAAGAGTTCAAGGACTTGTTCACATCACTGCCTATGTTGAGTTTGGAGCGCGAAGGGCTCTGCAGACGCTTGCCAAATTTGCTTGCCTTTCTTTAGGGATAGATCATGTATGGTTGATTTTGCATAGGCGCGCAGTGGGTGAGGACATGTTGGAGTGATACTACTACTACTACTACCACTAGAATTACAACCTCCTACTACCACCACCACTGCCCCCACTACTACTAGTGCTGCTGCTGTCATTACAACAACTGCCATCTGCTTCTCAAAAAGCATCTTTGATTCAGCCCCCCCCTGATCCATACCCCGAAATAATTTCTGTGAGTGGTGTGTGCTATACTACTAGCACAGAAACCGCGCGGAACCCGCGCGCCACACGCCCCACACGCGCGCGGAATCCGCGCGCCACACGCGCGCGGAACCCGCGCGCCACACGCGCGCGGAACCCGCGCGCCACACACGAAGTGGTAGCAGCTGCTGTCTCTATTAACATTGGTAGTTGTAGTAGTGGTCGTGGTGGTGGTAGTGGTAGTGCAACGACTACTGCAACAACGACGACAACGACTACCGTGACTACTGCTACTACTAAGACTACTACTACCGAAACGTCCGCGCGCGGAACCCGCGCGATTGTGGGCGCGCGGGTTCCGCGCGTGTGTGGCGCGCGGGTTCCGCGCGCAGGTCCGACCGGTCCGACCTGTATGCGTATATGCTGTCTGAAATCTTTTTGGAGTAGAAACTGTTATGATCGTCGATAGGTCTATCACTGAGATCGTTCTAGGTCATACATCAGGTAGGGCTTAGATCTGGTATGTTTTGAAGGAAAACCCAATCTGCTCAAAAGTGATGTTTGAGTTATGTTTCTGCCTTGTCTCTGTGTCTTCCCTTGTGTAAACACCTTCCGCATGTAGCGGGGTGTCTATGCTTCTGGGGTGGGCTGATGCCTGTTACATGTCCTAAAAAGATGTTCCTCTGTTGTTGTTTAAGCTTGTCATTGTTCTTTGTAATGCTTCATCCTTGTGTCTTGGTAGCTGGACTCAAAAACAAAATTAAGCTACCTTTGCTGTTCCCAGAAACTTTGTCGCACAGTAGAGACTGAATCTTGCAATCTTTGCTGCTCCCA